AAAGAAAAGATGAATGAACAGATTAATGAATAAATAATTTGACATTACAAATACACATCATAGTAAGCTGTGGTAACGGCAGTATGAGGAATAGAAAAGTTATTTTGAAGCAAACAAAGTAGACGTGACGTAAACAAAGTACTTAAAATTGAACCTCTTAGCTGGCCAAACAGTTTGTTATCACAAATGATATACCAAAACATGTGTATCCTTAACAAGAATATTGTAAGTCTCCTCGAAAAAAACCATGGAAACCACTCAACATAGATCACTAAGCTCACAACAAAAACACATTCTTAGATCACTCAACTTTTATCGACTGCCCTCACCTTGACCAAATGAAGAGTTGCAAATAATCCCTCCACAAAATTGATTAAATTTAATGCATTTCAAGAGATGTGTTGTTTCAGTTAGGAATAGAAGTGTTTTCGTAGCAATCGAAAAAAAAAAATGACCCTGAAAATTGTACCCCACCCCCGCCCACCTCTGTGATAACAAATAAAAACACAAGTGAGAAAAGTACAAAAATAAGAATTTTGAAGAGCCACTTTTTACAATACTGTAAATGTATTAATTATTCACTGGGTTTTAATTTTGCTGATAAGTAAAAGCCGCTAAATTAAATCTATGTGAAAATGTAAAATAAAAATAAAACTCATTGTTTCCTTGGCAAATTCGTTAATTAAAACAAACTGAATATGATCAAAAAATCAAAATCCTGTGATCAAATGTCAGTGAAAATAAATGGTTTTACAATAATAAACCTAAAGTAAAACTTGTTTATGTTTTTTAATGCACAATTTTTTGATGATTAAACTGATTTATACCTATACAAAGATGCATTTTAATGAATACTGAAAAGGATGCTGTATTGGTTTTTGGTATTAATTGTCTAAACCAATTTTTTCATATAAAATTTCTTTGGAAAACAGGATTTGTAAACAATGTACTTTAGCAGACATAGAAGATGAAATGCATCTCCTCATCAAATGCCCAAAATATCACACACTGCGAATGGATATATTCTCAAATATACAGTTTCCTGATGAAACAAAAACTGACCAACAGAAATTTACATACTTAATGAAAAATTCTAACACAAATGTAATCAAACTTGTTGGAGAATTTATACACAGCTCGTTCTTAATGAGAAACGAGAAAGATACTTAACAAAAACACTAAAATCTATCATTTATTATTTGCTATAGTTATTTTGTTATTTTGTTTTTTAATATCTTACTTTTGTTGCTATAAACTGATGGAAACACTGTATTTCTAAGGATGCAATAAATTATCTTTATTATTATAAAATATTCACTGAACCATACAAAGCTATATATTGATGGGAAGCATATTTCACACTGGATGTGAAATCAACAAGATATTGTGAGTAAATAATGCTGGGAATCATGAAACGATGATAGATAAAAACAACGTGTATGAACAGCAGCAGCTATCTTCACTTCAAACCTATTATCAGTGGAGTAAAGTACTATAAGGTTATTACGAGAATACCTCAAAGTATGCACAAAGACAGTACAGCTGGAGTATTGACCGACACGCAGCGAAGGTCGATGCATGGCGTACTGTCTGAGTGCATACTTTGAGGAATTCTCGTAATAACCTTACTATTATACATCTTTTCCTTCCAAGGATACATCATGGGAATGCCAAAATCCAAAAAGTTCAGAACAGAATCAGCGAACTTCTTTGTGTGGAGTTTGGTCAAACCTTAATGGCAGCCATGTTTGTTTTTATTATTAGAGAACACTTACACACGTAATCATTCCATATTTGGAATTCACATTTCCTTATATGGTAGGATGAAAATACCCCGTAAAATATCGCAAAATGACACGTTGTAACTTAAGGCGTTACAGTGACAGATGTATAATAATACAAGGTAATACACACTGTGTAAGTGAATAATTTCCCTGTGAATCCAAACCACATAAGAATTTTAATACATTCAATTTAAATATAATTTTAGTTATATTTTGCATCATTATTTTATTGAAAACAAACCATTTACTCTACATAAACTAAATTAGAAATGTATTTATTGTAATTTTCTATTCACACATGTACTGTATTTGTGTTAGGGGTATGTTCATTCCAATTTGCTGACATCAAGATTGAAATAGATGGAATATGATTTTTAAAGGCAAAAAATGTCAAATACCAGTGGTATATGTGTAGCAGGATGTGCTCATACACTCTATTCAAATCACCTGACATCACTTATCCCACACCAAGGGTTGTCTTACTGATTTGACTATGTAGAGTTGTGTACTTGTCAGTTGTTTTGTTCTTGTGGCTTATTTTGTAGATAGATAGTTTCCCTATATGACTTTTGTTCAATGATTTATGGTTGGGTAGATTATTTCGACTTCTCTGCCTGCATACTACATGTACCTGTATATGTACTTATGCAACAGAGCATACAGTCAACTTTTAACTTGGAGGATGTGGGGAATAATAATAGACCTCATTGTTTCCTTGCCAAGTTCGTGAACTTAAATAAAACCAAGTGAAATTTCTCAAGACAATGAAATTAACTGCTAGTGAAAATGATTTTATAGTACAACAGACTAATGTGAAATAATTATAATGGTTTTATTTAATTGTTTTAAAACAGGGTACTGAGACAACTAAAAGACGTTCAAAGTACGGTCATATATCGCAGTGGGTAAACAGTTCATAGTTCCGGGATCAGGATTTCCATCAATCAAAATAACCAATAATAAATAAACATTAAGAAATTTTTTTAAACGATTCATCATGATGTTATTATGGTGCACATGTAGAGATACAAGTGATATATTTAAGCGAGGGAGTCGTCACCTGCGCATGCGTCAGGCGGCCATAATGTGTCATTGTTTACAAACAAGTGTCTACCCATGAGCCTTTGCGTTTTTAGCATGTGTTGTTATCGTCGCTTGAGACTCAATTCACGCGTGTGCGCAGGTGACGACCCTCCCGCTTTAAGTAACTTTAATAGCATAGCATCGCATCAGACGCTGTAACTAAGTTGTAACTAAGCCTTGGTAACCAGTGAGTTTTGGTAATATTATAATGGGAAAACAGTGACAAGGTCCAGTACATATCTACAAACATTTCTCTAGATGGCAACACATGTAGAGTTTCCAAACATCAATCAGCAAAAGAGATGTGTTTCCTGATTACCTCGTGTTCATGTCAGGTGATAGGGTTTAATGCAACCAATGAGCATAAGTTTTGATGTAATTGCACACATGTGCACACTAAATAACAGCTGTGTTTTTCCCAGATAGATTACACAATTGTGTTCAGGCTACATTCTTGTGAAGGCTAAAATTAAAGTTAATGCGATATGTTTGTATATCGGCTAGATCGAGTAGCGTTCACGCATAAAAGGAACCTACATTTAGTACAGTCTAAGGGACAACCAAACTCAAGCCGTTTTAACATTCAGTGTATACCAGTGTACAGAGTCCTTTCGTCAGTACTTTTTTGCCCTAAGAAGAGTGTCTTTGGATAACGTCAACATTGTTTATCATGGCAGAAATGAAATACTGTAAGATACCGGTACATTATTTTCGCTTGGGATGTTTTTTTGTTATTTTCACTGAAGGAATGATTCAGTTAAAATAAAACACAGCGAATATACCTTTTTTCCTATATTTTACATTCAACTCGTCAAAAATCAGTAATAGTAAATTCCATACAAAACACCCAAAAAGTATTTTCGGCGAAAATTAATTCAAGCTAAAATAAAGTATTTTACAGTAGTAAAATAAATAATTATGAATATAACAGAAGTACGCAATTGTTAGTATAATGCCTTTCATTCTCTGAATAACAGAATAGTGTTTTTTTTTTATTAAAGGATATTATTAGCTATGTCGTGTTTGATCGCTATTATTGAAAACACTGATTATTGTATTATCAAAGTTTCTTAAATACTGTACTTTATATATTTGATTACATGTACCATTTTTGCTTTAAACCACGTCTATAAATAGACATGTTGGTGACACAAGTGCGAACATGATAGAAAACATATAATGTTAATTTTCGACCAATCAGGGACATTCCCGCCTAGGGTTCAGAATCCCACCGAGCCTAAACGTTCGCTTACATATTTCTTTATGGTAAATTCTCCGGTGTATCAGTGGATATACTGTACTGACGTAATAAACTACTCTTACGCGTTTATTACTTACATATTCGTTTCCTGTGATTGATTTGTTTGCATAGCCTAGCATTTCTTACTTATTTTGGATATAACTCAGTCACGAATCATAACCCCACAAGATATTACATCAGGTGATTATAAGTATTTAAAAAGACATTCATTTGTGAATGAAAATATGACCTTAACAGAGACTGGGAACAAATAAAATATTCTTTTTTTATTACTAAACACAGATTTGACAAATTTGTCCCCTAGGCAGCTGACAAACTGGATTCAGGGTAGTAGGCACTAAAGGAAGCAGGATACCAGTACAGGATTTCTTTGGAAGGAGGGATATCCTTACAGTGGTACGATTACATTTGATGAGATTCACAGAACAAGTAGATCAGGACAGCACATGTGTTGAATTATAACAGGCATTGTGTTTATTCTAATGCTTAACAGTTCATGTACATTAACCTTTAAAACTCTGTCATTTTTTTTCACTAATGTATTTCCATGGGAGTTATTTTTTTAATTTTTAACCAAAACTACAGTTTTTTAAGAACATTTCAGTGAAATAGTTTCTTTTTCAACACATAATCCTAACTCTAACTCTAATAATCACCCCAGTCCCCAATTGTATATGCCCCTTCTAGAGAAATATACAGGAGAGGGGAGTGCTGTAGGGTGGGGTTAAAATCAAGGTCACGAATTTGGTGCAAAACAAACTTTTTCGCATTTTAGTAAAAATGTGGAAGGAAAAAGGAAATAACATTTAAATAAATTAGTTTTGAAAATTATGTTGAAATCTCGACTAGTTGAGTCAAAATCAGTGATTACAAAAATGTTTTTTGATGACATACATGATTTATGGATGGTGAACTCTTGTCAAAATAAACATAGCAGATCTCAGCTTTGTACAAAATCAATCAAATAGTGTAAAAACATTTGCTTATAATATCAAGCAGCCTATTGGCTGAATAATTCAAAATAGCATTTTTTTGAAAAAATAACGAAAATATTCACTGAAATTAGAAGTACGAATCAAGGCATCTACATGTAAGAAGAAGCTGGAAATTTGACTACAAATGACAAAATTATTCCCAAAAAATACAAAATTTGAAATATTGTTAGGGAATGAACAAATCTGATTCAAAGTCAACCTAAGGTACCGGTATACACCAATACAATATTGGAGCAATTGGGCTTTGATGAGTTCAAAAAGCATTTTTTACTCCAAATGACAAAAATAAGTTTTGGAGAATTAAAGGTAATGTATCATAACGATATGAACAAATCTGACAGGTCCACCCAAGGTAACTACATGTACATACCAAGTATCAAAGCAAATGATCTGGTAGTTTTTAAGAAGAAGTTGAAAATGTGAAGTTAACAGTGATGGATAATCAGTACAGTAACATGAACCACTCCGCTCTGTCAAAATGAATTATTGAAAAATCATGATTACATTATACACTGAGTAATAATAAAATTTATAAATCACCTAAAAACAAATATTTTTAGCACATCATCAATTTTCCTCATGTCAAGAGAATTATTATGGGAAAAGCGCCCTCGTTACATTTTAAATTCAATATGGCTACCTAGGACTAAACAGCGAAATTTCTGGCATAATCTTACCTGTTGCTGAAGGGCTTCTTTGCTTACATTCAAATCTTCTACATTGAGAGTTATCATTGGTAGTATATAGCAATGCAATAATCGTAATAACGACATCATATCTGGCATATCATTCAACAAACACGTAGCCAAATCAAAGATATCATCTAAGTCAGCGTCATAGTCGTAACATTCCCCAGATGTGTGGTAAACTGGTTTTATGAAAAAAATAAAATAAAATAAAAAATAAGTAGAAAACAAATTTCCAAACAGAGAAATCACAGGAAATCTTAATAAAAATATTTTTGTGGTGTCATTTTCTAATATTTTTGTCAACCAGCATGCAAAATTGATTACAGATATCGCTTACTGATCACCACTGGTTCATGATCCGCAGTGATGACGATGTTGGCCATAAAACCTTTTATTAACAAGGACACATACATCTAGATTTAATAATAATAACAGCAGCAAACAATGCCACTTTTATATTTTTGAGTTCCAACAACATTCACTCACACAGGCATGCTTGCAAAATGTAAACACGTGTGACAGCTTAGATATCACAAAATAAAATGATTACAAATGAAGCAGTTGTACTGTTTTTTTGAGTTTCATTACCATTTATAAAAAAAATTTTTCTTTTTTTTTCTTAATTTTGATCAAGACCTGCCAATCAATTAAAATTACCGGTAAGAGATTATAGAGAAAATGAAAAAAATTATGAAAAATGTAAAAAAAAAATATATAACATTCAACATTTAAATTAATTGCTCGTTAATTATTCTTTTATTTTGTGGAAGTATTTTTGATGGTTGGAAAATTTCATCACCAAAAACTGATAAGTGACAGTGCCCTCTATAGTTTAAATAAATCATTCACTTTCTTTTTACTTACGTTCTTTGACATGAGCACAATAGACAAAACCCCATCCTCTGTCCTGTCCTGTTAGACGACACTGTGAACATGTTGTCCATAATACTTTTCTTTTGGCACAGTCAATGCTGACAGAATCCAAGATAAGAACCTTATGTAACAAAAGGAAGAAACAATCAAATAAATGAGGGAATAGGGTAAAAAAACAATAGTTTAGGGGGTTTAGAGCTCACAATAGTATTTGTTTTTCAGGAGGTACTGAATCAGCTTCCTCTCCCAAGAGAAGCATGTTCAATAGTCTGACAAGGTCGCGTGAGTTGCGACCTCTGCAGTACTCCAAACCCAACACACGCCTGGTGAAACGATGTAGTTTTTCACTTCCCACAACGATTTTTGTCGGTAACAATCAAATTGCAGGAACGACAGATAGTGACAGGGATCAAAGAGTGACCATTCACGGCAGAGTTTATTTGTTTGTTGACATAGTGTGTGATAAGATGCTGGCAAATTTCTGCTCAATGTTAATCATCTTATTGAAAACAGTCTGTGATATTTGGTGTTACCATGACCACCAAAATGAATATTCATTGAAACTAATGGCAAGAAGGCATGAACTTTGCGAATTCGCAGTATTGATCTTGCCGACGAGACATACACTATTCGGTCAGGCGTTAGAGTGAGATCTTATGCCGTTCGGCCGTCGCGGGCCTTCTCACTTCTACATGAGAGGCTTTCATGCAAATTTGCTGTATGTCATTCTAGCTTAACAATTACCCAAATAAAAAGAATACACTAACTACATTTCCCATATTAAAGTACCAATACACGCATATATCAATTATATATACAATATCAATCAAAATTATAGCATCCAGTATACAGTATTTGCTCTATTAGAATCGCATCAACAATAGAAGAACATGTGAATTAAAAATAACATGTGTTGTATACTAATTAATAAAATATTATCTATTTGGAAATATCTGTAATATATGACATATCTGCAATTGGTTAATTAAGCATATATTAAAAAATTATATAATATTATAAAACAGTGCTCTGTTGTACACCAAAATGGTGCATTCTAATTGTTTTGAACAGGTCAATGCATTCTGCCAGGTAATCGAATCAAAACAACAGTTTGAACAAAAATTGGTTAATAACAATATCTCATATTGTTTTCCCACATTTAGATGGTTGTCTAAACAATAAACTCACCATGACTCATGCCATTTTCATCAAAAAATAAACAAATTTTCTCATGCTATTTACTCGTAAAAAGTTTTCGCAAAACTGACATACAGTAGAACACCTCCAAGGTAAAAAAAGGCCATCTTTGCATTTATATTCAATTTTTCAAAAATTTGGGGTATAAAAGTACTGCACATTATTGCCTGATAACAGATGAAAGTGTTTACTACGTATTGTCTATGTTTGGTCCAATATGACACAATGGGCATTATATTGCCCTGTATTCTCTGAATAACACAATAATGTTTTTTTTCCAAAGAATATCATTAAGCATTACATCAGGTGATTAAGATGTTTAATTTGGAAAATCAAATGAGGAAGCAAAAATGAAAATAGCAACAGACATACCGGTACATTTATTTATAACTGTTACAGTAGTGTTTAAATAATTATTCAAGGGCTTTGTTCCAGTTATATACTGCCTTGTGATTCACAATCAATCACAGAAAAGTCACAGCAAAGTGACACATTCCGGGTTGAAAATGTCCTAATTATCAAGTTGTTTCTCGTGACTGTGACAAAAACTATACTCTGGAACCATGAGTGCACATGTAACTCACTTGACAACTTTGAACGTCACATGATATTTAAACAAAAAGGTTGTGACCCCTGACAATCCACATCATAATAGAACTCTCCTGACATAAAATTAGCAGAAAAAAATTATTAATGACAAGTCACTGTGCTTTGTGCTCGTCATATTAAAGCGGAGGGGTTGTCGCGAGCGTGTCCTTGAAACTTGAGTTCCAAGTGGCGTATACAACAGATTGTTTATTTACATCAAAACATGTGTTCCGTGTAGTAGTAATATGGCCAAAAATAAAAACCGCTGTTATTCGGCCATCTTTGATCTGATTATGAAACACACTGATATGTATGATGTATGTGCCAAATACGAATGAAAATGGTACATAAATTGTGAAAATATAGTAGTAAGGCCAAAAAGTCAGATGGCTGTCAATCGACCATCCTTGACCAGATTTTGAAACAAATTGTCATGGACATGCATCTTAACATGTATAAAGTACATGTATGTGCCAAATTTGAATTAAAACTGACAGAGCACGTCCAAGATACCGCATAAAAAAGAAACAAGATGCCT